ATATTTTTTTAAGGTTAACGCCACAGATTTACGCAGAGTTTTGAAAATCCCAATATTTTTTAATACGACATTATTAGGATACACGAATTTCGAATTTTAGTTAACTTTTGACGCTCTTCGTATGTGCCAATTTCGTTGCGAATTATTGATGCAATTTTACTTCTGATTTTGACTATCCTGATATTTTAACACAATATTACAACTCATGAAATTCGATTCTGTTTCAAATTTTTTTTAAAAAGTAATTACGTATCTTTTGCATAAACGACATTTTTCATTCTCTGAGAGAATAAAAAAACGAGATGTGTAAATTTATATTAAACATGGTCCCGTTTACAGAAAAATAGTTCAATATATGTGCAAGTTTATCAATACCTACCCAACCTATTCTTTTTCGTTGTCACATGATTTAAAAATCACATATCGCGATTCCTATTTAACACGTCTTAAAAATCATACGTTTTGATTCTTCTCGCAATTTAAATGTCACACATTGTAATTCATATTCAAGCAATCTAAAAATTTGAAAATTGCATTAACCAGATTTAAAAATCATCCATCGCAATTCGTTTTCATGAGATTTAAAAACCACATATCGAGATTCATATTCACGAGTTTTAAAAATCATACTTTGTGAGTCTTCTCCTCGCTATTTAAAAACCACACATGTCAATTTGTATTCATGCAATTTAAAAATCACACAGCAATTCGTATTCAAGAGATTTAAAAATAATGCTTGGGTATTCGTATTCACGTGATTTAAAAATCAGGTAAAGGAAGAGCAAAAACTGGAACAAATTCCGAAACTGATTAAGTTATTTGCCCTAAGTTTAATACTGCTAACAACAACAGCTTCTGTCTAAAGAATTCAGCAATGAATTCGACATGTTCAAAATTAAGGAGCAGTATTTAAACAAAATCATAAAATTTTCATTAATTGGCCACAAAAAGATACCACGTGATCAAGTAGATAAAATTATTACAATATTTAAAAATTTTTGAGCGAATTGCAGGATAACCAATAGGAAATTTTTAAACCATTTTCTACCCATGCATTTTACATATTCCTAAGATCATATGCTAGGAAATGATTTGCATATCATTAAATTTTAACTGTAAAAAATGTAATCAAGATAAGTATTATAAAGTAATGTAAACTTTAATTAATTGTTAATATATATGTGTATTAATTGTAAATAGTAAGAGTCATGTTAAAAAAGTCTTGGTCATAAAGAGTTGTAAACAAGTATCTTAATAGTTTTTTTATTATTAAGGAAAATAGTTCCTTCAAAATTAATGCTTTCTTTCCTTTTCTTTCCTCTCTCAGCCCCTGCCTCTTATAATTTATTTAAAATTAATGTTAATTTTAATCATTTTTAATCATTTAATTTTAATCATTTTTAATGCTATTAACTTCTTTAAATCAAAGTACTTAACTTGCATTTATTTTAATAAATAGGATACTTATTTTTTTTAAAATTTAATTCTATGAAAAATAATTCAATGTTACAATTTATGTTTAAATGAACTTTTTATTATTTATTAATGTGATAAAAAAAAACGCTAATTTTTCCATGGCTTTTAATTATTTCAATTTTTTTTTCAGATAAATTGATTATGATTTTCTGATTCTGTTTTATTTTCTAAGTAAACAGCTTTACAGATTCTAATTTTAAACATTTAAAAGTATTAAATTCTATGCTAGCATATTACAAGGCTAACTGATATTTAGTGCCTAGGACAATGATAGCTTATACAGGGATCTGTCCAGACCGAATTTACTACCGTTTAGCAGTACCTTCACAAATTCAACTTTAGGAGAAACGGTAGTTTCACAAAATACTTTTTCTCAAAATGTTATTTTTGTATCCCTTAAGAAACGATAAATCCATATTTTTGTGTTTATTTTTTGATATAATTTTTAATTTTTCACAAATTATGTCTAAATTTTCACAAAATAGGTACCTTTTAGAAAAACCTATACAGACCCCTGTTACATAACAATTACTGTCAACATGTCTATTTAAATGCTTTTGCACATGGCATTTCGTTGGTCAATCTGTTGTGCATGTGGCCCTTCACTCAAAACGGTTGTGCACCCACTAATTTTTCAACATTATATTACTATGAAAAACTCACAATTTACTCGAAAAGTTACAATTAAAACTAAAGATGCTTATTATCATCACTGTTTTGCAAATATGTTTTTGGAAACTAATGGTATATCATTGCAAAAAGCATATACATATATCTCAATTCATAGAGGATTTATATTAATTCTCTTTTAGCTTTCATCATGCATATACATAATTTGATTTGAAAATTGCAAAATTAATTTTAATGGTACTAATGATTTTTTCACTCAATGGTATTGTTTAAAAAGAGATATTTTATGTTATGATTAAGAGCATCTCCCATAGAGACATTCGTCATTTTTTTTTATTAAGTAATTCTCTATTTTGCAAAGTTATGCAGATAAGTATAGGCTATATGAATAATAATAGAATGCTTAAATTAAGGAATTTTAATGCGATATTTTCAAAGAATTGGTAGGAGGCATTAATGGTTACATAATTTTATACAGGCAATAACCTTCAAAGGAGGCAACATCAAGTCAAAAATATTTATATGCATAAAAACTAATAAGTAACAGTATTTTTGAAGTTAATAAGCTCAATTGGTTTCATGTAAACTAGACCTCTTAAGTTTTACAAAGGGAATTAGAACTGAAGAATTAGGTGGCTAATGCAGTTTTATGGAATACTAGTTTAAAAGACATCTAAAAAAGCAATAGATAAAAAATAAAATAAAATTATTTCATGCTTTTACATTACAAGCATTGGTAGTGACATCTAGTGTGATTAATGTAAGTTATTTGCAGTATTCTTATTCTGACTTTCTACTATTCTAGATTCTTCTAAAGTATTTAAAAGGTAAGTAAAGTATAGAAATTATTTCGATAAAACACTAGGAGACAAAAACTTAAACTTTAAATGTAATTCAAGCAAATGTGTAAAAATAAATTTTTTTTGTAAGTCTTTATAAATAAGGGGAAAAAAACAGTAAATTTTAACTTAGCAACATTTTAGTTAAATAGATTTAAAGTTAACTAAATAATAATAATAAAATATGCTTGTTCTGAATGAGCTAGTTTTAATTAAATTTTTCTATAGCTTTTTTCAATCAACTTGCATGAATATGATTTTTTTTTTTTAAAAAATAGCTTTAAAATGTAGAGGTACCAAATTAAATTCTCAGATAATTAATTAATCATCAAATTAGATGTAATTAATATTAATTTCTAAAATCTTTTGTCCACAATTCCACTAAATTAAGAAAAAATAAAATAGCTCATTAAAGAAAATAGGTTTTTAGATCTATCATTCTAAAACTTATAAAATTTATTTTATTTTATAGCATGATGACAAATAATTACATTTAATTCAAGCAATGATAAAATTACCAAATAAATAATTAAATTTGCATGCAAACCAGAGTACTACAAATATTAAAAAAAATTACAAAACAAACTGGAATGCTAATAACATTTATATCGATGATAGTGCAATTTTACTTCTGATNTTTGACCAGTTTTTGACGGTTTAAACCAGTATTATACCCTTGTCATGTCAAAAACCACTTTTTGACGTCAAAAACCCAACCCTGATTTATATCGATGATATTTAATCAAAAATTAGATTAAAATAAAAGATACATGTTATATATGGCATGTATAAGGCGAATTTTTTTTTTAAAAAAAAATTCAAGGTATTCTTCAAAGTTCAAAAACTAAAGAAATGTCAGAATTGTGAAGTATAGACATAAAGAGTGCAGAATTACTACAAATTTTAAATCAATAAGAAATTTTAAATTACTTTAAAAAAATGTAAATTAAAAGTAACAAAGAAGCATCTGGTATTTGTTTTGTTACTAACAAAATCTTTAAACAAAAAAAATTTAAGCAAAACTAATCAAACTTTAAGAAAACTTTTTAAGCACAGGAAAATTAATATCTAAATGATGAAATATCAATGATGATTTTTCAATTGTAAAATATTAAGCTTACTCTTTCTTTTGGAATATTGTTGTAAAACACTTTTCGTAAAAATTAAATTAGCTTTTTTAAATTTTTAATTAAAAAAAATCACAAAGAAACATTTTTTTCAGAAAGTCTCAAATGTCTAACTTAGATGACAACTATAGTCCTGATTTTTTTTTTGAAAAACTTTTGATATAATTTTTTAATAGGATTGTAATTGTTTATCATTTAGATTTCTGTACAATTTACTATATATTTTGTGTCCAAGAACAATGATTAAACATCAAGCCATCATAAAACATCACATGAGGGTGGTGCAAAAAAAAAAATATTAATGAAACAGAAATAAAATCATAAAGAAAAAAAAGACTAAAAAAAGGTGAAGAAAAAAAAATTAAATAAAGATGAAAAAAAAAAAACTAGTACCAAGACTACAAAAATTTAATTTAAAATGGCAAAATGTTATCCTTGCAAATGTTCTTTTCATGTTCCAAAATCATCTAGGAGAATTTCACTTTTTACCTTTTAAATAATTCAACTGCCAGGCAAATACAAAAAATTCCCAATTTCAAACATTTCATAGGATGTTGCGTGCCAAACAAACATGCACTCAGTTATGGAAAAATAAAATGCCTTCAACAAGAGACATAAGTTTAACTCTAACAGTCTGTTTCATAAGCTTGTTGAAAATTCAGTAATTTTAAACTACATACTTTAGTGTACACTTGATGAATTAAAACATACACTCCTTTGTAGCTAACTGTTTACATGGAGAGAAATTTTTAAATTCTTCTAGATTATTTTGTAAACAAAGAAAACTAAAACGGTCAATAATTACTATCAATTTTCTCTCCATAGCAATTTATCACCAACCACAAAATATGCATAACATTATTTTTTGTACCCGTTTTTAATGCAGAAACATTACAATGCACAGTAAAAAGAAAGAAAAAATACTAACTTGATTGTTGATGATGCCTAGAGTATCCATCATGTCTTCCATATCCACCAGGAGGTGGAACATTTCCATAACCTTGATTCCCTAAACTACGACTGTGTTATAAAAAAAGAAAGTGCATTAATAATAAGAACAACAAAAAAGAGAATTTCAATTCTAATAAAAAAATGGAAGGCATAAAAGTTTTGAACTTTAAAATAAGATAAATATTTAAAGTTAAATATTTAAAGTTAAATAAATGAATAAGGGGAAAAAAATAAAAAAAAGTTTATATCAAAATACTATGAAATAGTTTCATTCCTATGAAATAGAACAGAAATACATTGTAAAATTCATACACTAAGGAAAATCACTTTTTTTTGTTTAATTTTTTAACGATGCAACTAAAAAAACTTTTTAAAAATAAATTAATATGGATGACTATTTTTATTAAAAAATTAATAATTAAAAAAATAATAGCTGAATTTTTTTTTTCATTTCATTCATGTCTCTTTTTAGCAGATTCAATTTTTTCTTCTTCTCTGGCTCCTCAGTTCGCGTATTCGTGTATGTACAGATAGAATGGCTAAGAAAATATTTTATATGGAACAAACAGAAATATTTGAAAACTTACTTTAGCATTCTATGACCACCAGAATCTAAAGAAACTCTTTTATTATATGGTGCCATGCCCACTTGGGGTCTTCTAAAGCTGCGATTGCTTTTGTACAAACTTCTAAAATCCTCTACAGGCATTTGGCCTGGTTGTAAAACGTTTGGAGGATCACTAAAAATAAATACAAACACAAAAATTAAAAGAAATTTTTCAAAACTATTGCTTTCATAAAATATATACTATACTCTGTTTCAAGTTAAGAAAAAAACATTATAATTATGGAGAGAGCCTGTTTGCATCTAAGTTCAAGCCAAATGGATGCCAAGCTTACAGGGCAAATGAATATCATTATCGCCAACTCTTGAAACAACGTTGTGCACACTCCCTTTTGCTTGGCTTCTTATTCATAATAAGTTATTAACTAACAAGTAATAAGAATAAATAAAATTATCTACAAATTGTAAGAAATATACCTCTTTCTGTTTGCATTTAAAGAAACTGATGAAAAAATAGTAAATAGTGCTTCTTGCAGACAATTTTCCTCACCAGGAAAACAAAATAAAACATTTCTTTACCTCGCATTTAATTTTTATGGGCATGTCAGCATAAGATGCACCATTTTTAGTGGTCCAATCAATTTCAATGCTCTTGCAATGTCGTGTAGCTGTCTCTTTTTCAATTGAATGTTCACCTTCTTTATCAAAATATGTCTGACTTGTTTAATTTTGAAATTTTAATATTGTTTTGAAAGCATATTTGTACAGTTTGATAGTGAAATAAAACAGAACTATATGCAGTTGCAGATGATTACTTAAATCCTACTCCGCAATGGCCTTTTCTTAACTTGCAACAGAATACAGTTTATTATGCATAATTACAAATTAAATGTATATATAGTCTAGGATGAAAGCATTTTACAACTAACATATAGGTACTGTCATTCAGCAAATTTTACAGATTTTAAAAATATTATGGATTTTATAATAATGGCTAGTTGGGGTTAATTGGTCATTCCCTAGTCGGATTACCCTATAGCATGTTATAATTGAGGAGCTTAGTTGAAGAACATATTAAAGAATATTCCACTTAATTTCAGAAAATCAGTTTTAAAATGTAAATAAACATCAAAAAGTATTAAAAAAAAAACTAACTATTTAAAGACTTGCTATAAAGTAATGTTCTTAAATCCAAAAGTTTCAGTGTTATCAAAATCTCACTTAACAATTTTAATTACATAAGCATTGAGCTCCTTAAATGCTTGTGAGTTTGTTTTATAATTGTTGAAGACTAATATTGAAGCTTTTCCAGCTGAATTTTTCTTTTGTTTCTCCACTATTTGGTAGAAAAAATGTTCAGCAGTACAACATCATTTACAAACAAATGGATTAATAAGTGCAATTTACTAAACATCCTAAGTGAAGGACACAAAACCCATCGTTTGATGGAATGAAATTAAAACTCTTTTTTGATATTTTATCCTTTTTGGCTGTAGAGATTTTGCATTCCAGTACAAAAATGTTCAGCACTGAGATACAATTTACTAGTTCTTTGCTTAGTAACCTATAAACCTGAGAAGCTTTAAGCTTCTTTTTAATGCTAATTAATATTTTTATCTCTTGTAAATAAAAAATATTTTTAAATGACTAAATTCTAACACTTCAGTTATTAACAATAATAGTCTTAAAAATAACTCGTAGTCACAAAACCGAATATGAACAAAATATAAAAATAACTATGTTGCATGAATATATAAATAAAATAGAGATTATAAAGATATTAATAATTAAAAACAAAATGTGCACTTTAAAATCATTAGATGATATTGATAATATTTCAAATAAATTAAACTTACACAGCTGTCTTTAATCTCTCTGCAGGAAAAATAAATCCATCTGGGTATTGTGGATCGATGAAACTGATACTAAAATAAATTAAATGTGTGTAATATTTTGTAATGAGAAAAATATATACAATTCTAACTCTACACAAAAATTTTATTCAATATTTAAGCAAATAATACAGTAAAACATCGGTACAACAATATTTAGGGGACCAAATAACTATATTGTTGTAGAAGGATATATTGTTATATCAAGGGCCTACATACTTTGGTGACACAATGAGATTTTCTTTAATTTTAATGTTATTAAAATTAAAAGATTATAAAAATAATAAGATTTTTTTAATATTAACAATAAATATATTTATATATTATGTAAAAAATTAGTTTGCAGAGTGTTAATTATGGTTAAATATTAAAAACAATTGAAATAAATTCAGAAAATAAGATCTTTAACATACCCTGAAAATCGTTTTCATTGAAAATAATCCGGTATTTTTTTTTTCTTTCTTTTTTACTAACCGTTAAGTCAACTAACAAAGTATGCATTGATGCACGAAAATGATTTTCATTTGTGAATGGTGTGTTATTGTGATGATCATGGTCATTTGTGACTCATGATAATCTTTTAACATGTAGGAAATGAAATCAGATAAGAATGTTACATCTGTGACTTCCTAAGAAATAAGTGAGGCAATTCTAAGAAGGGAAGCTCTTGGGATGGTCAGCAGTGAGTCTTCTCTTGTTAGAAAAAATGGCAAAAGATAATAAAATAATTTGTTTTACATTATTTGAAAACCAATAGAAAACCGAGAAACTAAGGTTAAAATTTGGAAACAAAATCGTTTTACGTGGGTTTATTGCTTCAGAGGATATTGTAATATTTAGAGGAGGATAAATTTAATTCATATGCAAGTTTAAAGGGACCATGAAACATTATCGTAATAGAGGGAGTTATTGTTGCAGCAGATATCGTAGTAGCGAGAGTTCATTGTATTTTGTCTAATTAAAAAATTTATACAAACAATCAGAATTTTCGACCCTCCCATAACAAGTAAAAACAATGATTTTTTATAACTCAATCTTGACAGTAGAGAAATTTGAATGGTTTAAATATAGAGACAAGAAACAGAAATGTATTCAATATTTTAGGAAGGCTTTCTGTATACCTCTTTAATACCTTTCACACTTTTTAAATTTTTTTTGCTAGTTACACTAAGATTAATGAAAGAAAAAAAAACATTAAATAAAATATTTTTTATTTTAAAAAAGAGAGAAATTTTTAAAGAAACGTATGTTTATTTCATATATCATATTAACTTTTTAATTCAACTTGTTATTCTATGCCCTATAAACTACTTTTGCAAAAACAAAAATGTAAAATACAAAAAATAGAAAGAAACAACAACTTAATGTTCCTTAAATTTAAAATAATTAGTTCCATTTTACAACATTGACACACAACACACTTCTAAACTCATTTTATTTCCTGATGTGTTTTATTCCATGAAATGTTTATCATTTATTTTAATGATGCAATAAAGGCCAACTTACCACACTGCTGCATTTTCTGGTATGTCTGGCAAAGCCTGTAGAGGACTCTTAATTGTACTGCAATAGAATAAAAAAAAAGCTATTAGTTTCAAAAAAAGGACTAAATAAACAAAGAGAAATTAAATCAGTTCAAGCAAAGTATTAAGGATTTATTTAATAAATATAAACTAAAACTCTTAAACCAATTACCTCTGCCATTTGAAATAAATAAACTCTTAAACCTCTAAACATAAAAGAGTGGGCGGGGGGGGGGACTCCAAGAACATTTTCTGACCTTTTATCTATAGATTATTTTAAAGATGATTAGTTGAATTTTTTTTGATGTCCTTTAAACTACACAACTATCTAAGACTAATCCGCAATCTAAGACTAATGACTCACAGACGATATTGAAACATGCTTGCACTAAACGACCGTTTTCTTAAAAATGTACCGATTGTTAAGGAGTTAATAATAAAACTGAAAATATTACTTAAAAAATTATACTAAAGATACAACATTTATCATTTTCTATTAATAGGCATTAAGTAAAGAAACAAGATATTTTTTAGTAAAACCAATGAAATACTAAAAACTCAATCAAGGATTAAACTTAAACCTAAACTAGGCTTTACCAAATGTTACCAACAAAAATATAAAAATTAATAATTGCTTACTCTCTAGGATTGATTACATCTTCAGATTGTATAACTTTACCACCCATTCCATAGAAAAGTTTTGGATTTATGTCTATTTCCTATAAATTAATAATTTAAAATGAACACAAATATTTGCATAAAACATTTTATGTGTTAAATGATTGAATAAAAAAAGAAATTAAAAAAAATTACCAGTTTCCAGTTTGTGCCGATATCGTACAATGAGACTAAAAAGTCATAACCTGTGTGACCTTTCCGAATATAGAGTCTATCTGAGCCCCTCACATTCCGTTTTACTACAACAAGAACAATGGTATTAGAGGTAATAACTTTACTAACATATAAAACTAGAACAGTTAATAAGCGAAACTAAGGATCAAGATCAATTTCCATTTGTTAATAACTTAAAAATGGAATATTTCAAGAAAGTAGAGTCCCGATTATCCAAATTTCTGTTTTAACCGAGCTATCAAATATTTCAAGGATTTTTTTTGCTTTAGTTTATTTTTTATTTTTAAAACTACTGCTGAAATTTTTTAACAATTTTATCGTTCAATCACTCAGGAAAACAAGCTGACGGACAACACGAGATTACCGATGAAATGATCATTAATAATGTCAATAATGAATCTAGCAAAGATGATGAAGAAAGTGACAATGAAAATTAACACATAAAAGCTCTCATACAGATGAACTAAAAGCTATTGAAAGTGCTATCAGGGGTCTGTCTAAGTTTTTCTGAAAGGTACCTATTTTGTGAAAATTTAGACATAATTTGTGAAATTATATTAAAAAATCAATACAAAAACATGGTAAAAATATAGATTTATCGTTTCTTAAGGTATACAAAAATTAAATTTCAAGAAAAAGTATTTTGTGAAACTACCGTTTTTCCTAAAGTTGAATTTGTGAAACTACCATTTTACCTAAAATTGAATTTGTGAAGGTACCGCTAAACGGTAGTAAATTCGGTCTGGACAGACCCCTGGCTATTGAATGTATAAAGCAATAAGAAGAGGCGACACCAGCCTTTCTGTTATTCATAAAAAATGGCGAAACACTGCTGCAGGAAAGCGCCAAAGTAACGAAAAACAAAAACGATTAAGGGCTTTTTTAAGTAAAAACTCTTTCATTCTCATAAAATATGCTCCTTTAAGTGTTAAGTAAACTTTTTAATTATAATATTAATTGTATGTGGTGTACTGGTATAAATTTTGTATTTGTTAAACATATTACATTTATATCTACTCTTTTTCCTTTCTTTTTTATATCCACATTAACTCGGATAATCGGGACTCTACTGTAATTAAAAAAAAATATTGAAAAACAAAGTGATCCTTCAGTGCAGAGAAAAATCTATATTATCTAAAATAGGATCCACATTGTTGCAAAACTAATGAAGCTCTCTTCTATCAAACTAAGCTGTAATTTTGGAAAAGATGAAAGATTAATGTGAACAGTTCATATAAACAGAATTGCAGTTTAATATTTTTGCTTTAATTAGGTTTTATTAACAAATTGTTGACCAATGACGAGCTAACTTGTCATTGCACTCGCATCGTTGAGTTAACTTGCCATCAGTCAACAGCGTTTGGGCATAAAAATCAATATTAAGAATGTTTTACTTTACTCCCATATTCAATTTCATAATAGATGGATGCATGACATAGTTTCTTTGTAAAATTGCAAGTCAACAAAATTTTGATTTACATAGTTAACATATAAAGTTAAAGTTATAATTTAGTTTTAATGGTGCTTCACAGTAAATGTGAAGAATGACCAAAAATGCCTTGCTTGTTGATTCAAGAATATACTAAGAAAAAATTATTTTTCTTCTTAAATAATTAAAAAAAAAAAAAATTATTTCATGTATTTTTGAAAAGTGTTATTCAGAGTTCTTGAGCTTTCCTTTAGTTAGGCTTTAACTGAACAAAAAGAAAAGTTACCTTAGCAAGACAGAAAACTATTTTGTCTCCAAAAACATGATAGGAAATTTATTACATTAACATTATTGTATTACTTACACCAAAATTTACTCTTAATCCAACTATCACTTTTTACAACATTGCTCACAAATTAGGTAAATTTAGTTTTATTATTGTATGGCAATGCATGATAATATTTTTTAAAAATTAACTAACTTTAAATTAAACCACTCAACTAACTTTAAATTAAATCACTAAAGAAGCTAGAAAAGTGAATACTTTACATTGTGATTGCAAAATTCATGGAAACCAAAATATACTTTAAAGGAAAAAAAATACTAGTTTAAAAATTTATATAGTAATTTAAATATAAATAGTGTTTCTTCGCATCATCCTTAGGCCATCATCAATAACCCATTGTGCAGCTCTAGTGCAATGAAATTAAAGCACTACTACTACGCTCAATTATTTATCTATTTAGCTTTTCTTTTAAATTACATAAAATGCATTTAGTCAATTTTATTGTACTACTACAAAAACATTACAATTACAGTTCCTTCTATGTAAATATAACATTTAAGTCTTTAAAAACAAATAGATACATATTTTCAGAAAATTTTTACAACAAAATTGAATTTAAAAAACAATTCAGACTTACTTTCATATTCTGTAAGTTTTGAGTATACAGCCTCTAAGGCTCTTAATAATCTTTTCTCATCAACAAATGGTAAAAGAGCAACTCCTGAATAAATAAAATTGTTGAAAGAGAATTCAGATTATAAGAATCAAACTGTACTTCATAAAAAAAAAGTCTTTTAAAAATAAATTTAACTGCAAAATAAAAAATTTTGTTACGTCAAAAATTATCAAAATAAAAGATGAGTTTACTTTGTTTACTTATTAAATTAGAAATGAGTTTACTTATTAAATTAGAAAATCTTACCTTGCCAAGCATATTTTTTGCCATTAAGATCAATTTTAAAATCAGTCGGGTAGAAATCTATTATTGAAGATTCCTGAAATACAATAAAATATTATATAATGAATATTACATAATGAATAATAAAATATTATACAATATACATAGTTAAATTTTTTAAATAGTATATTTAAGGATTCCTTAAACAAAATTAAATAGACAGATTTGTAAATCTATACCCACCTCTTTACACCAAATTGTAAGGAAATATGATACATACCCTGAGACCTGATAGAGTAAGTTCTACAAAATTTCAAATTGAGAAACATAAACACTGCAGAAGTAAATGGAGTCATTTGAAAAGAATTAAGTACAAACTTTGATAAGAAAAGTCGAGCAAAAATAAATTTTAAACTCAAATTTGCTGTCATTATTTACTTTTTAAAGCAATATTTTTATAGTAATTGCACTAAGTTAAAAATTGGAACCACTAGGACTTGAAAATTATACTACTCAATGTGTAAATGTTTAAACTGACATGTAAAAAATCCAGTCAAGAGCATTTTTCACCTCTGCATGCATTCAATAAGAAATATTGAAGATCGCAATACATGAATTAATTCCTAAATTTATACAAAATCTGCAAAGATGTTGTAAAGAATAACGAGTAATTAAGGAAGAAAATATTATAAAAGATAATGATACTTTTTTGTTTAAAATAATGCACAGCATTTACTTCAGAGATGCTTATTAATTATCGACTATTAATCGTTTGTGCATATTAACCCTCTGTTAATGAATAATACTTATAATTTATGCTTAAAAATGCTGATATTGATATAATTTTGTTACATATTTTTTGTTGATATAATTTTGTTGTTAATAGATTAAAAATAGATAGATTCATATGTTTTCATAACAAATATTAGAAAAAAATGTTTGGTCGTTTAAAAAGTTTTATACTAAATGTACTCATGTACACCAAAAAGATTGGCACAGCATGTTAAATTCTTAAGATTTGTCTGAGCCCAGGTAATCATACTATTTAAAAAAATACATTCAATTACATAAGTTTTTTCAAAAGCCATATATCACATTTCTTTTTTGAGTAAAATGATTTTTATACTTTATTTGAATAGAATGTAGTACAAGTCATTAGTAAAAAATGATTTATTGAATAAGTTACTGAAACATTTAAAATAGAAACTGAAAAGGACCAATTCAAAACAAGACAACTAGCTCATAGAACATCTTTTNAAGCAATTTTTGCGCAGGTCGAGACATATTGAGAAATTTGCAGATTTTAGGAAAAAGGATGACAATTTCGCGGAAATTCGCGCCGCGACAAACCTGCAGCCCTAACTATGATTACATTGGTGGATTTAAAGAAAACGAAAGTCCCATTTAAACCTTATTTACTAATATTGAATTACGTCAGCAAAATAAAAAATAAAAAAAAAGAGAGAGAAAAAACATTAACTTGTCAACAACAGATTTCAACCTTTATCAATCCAAATATTTAAAGTTTTATTTATTAATTTTTTAAACATTTTGTAAAAGAATGTAAAAAAATATTTCTGCAGTGGGATTATTTTTCAACATCTGACAATGTAAAAAACAACATAAAAAAATAAAATAATATAAAAAATTAAGAAAGAAAGGAAAGGGAATTAAAAAAAAAAATTTTTAAATCATGAATAGGAATAAAAATCTCATGGCTGTAATAGTAATTTGACTGAAGCTAGAAGGGAAATAAAAAACATTATTTAACCCAAGTTAGTACATACTGCATTTCAAGGTTCAATTTTTTAAAAGAGATTCTTTTTAAGTCAATAAAAAATGGAATAAATTTTTAGTAAGGGTTTAATTGAAATTAACCATTTGGTATAACAATATCTTTCATATAGACTGAGAGAATAAATGATTGTTACTGGTGAGAAACTTATAATTTTCTTTTAAAGCAATGCTGATGTAGATTCATTCATGATAGAAAATAGTTATTGGAAATTTATTAAAGTAATGAAACTTACAGGTGCTCCAATGTCCCAGTTTATATTTAGCTCTCCAATGTTAGTAAAATCGGATGCAAATGGAGCATAATGATATGGAAAGTACCAATTCCAAGAGGCACAGCCCTATAAGAAAAATCATAGTTAAAAGAAGTGACTTTAAACTGACAACTGTTAAAAAATCGGATTAATCTTCAATAATAATAACAAAATATAATTAATATTATTTTCAATATCCTATATATCATTTGGAATAAGTTTCCATTAGCTTTTAACTTTTTTTAATTTATAAAAACAGTTTTTATTGGATAAAATAAAAGATTTTCGTAAGTGGAACTACAGAGACTATCATACTCTATAAAGACTCATACTCTATAAGAATATTTTTTACTTATTGAAATTACACCACTTACCATAACATTAGTAGTGCCAAATATATGATAAATGGTTTAATAACAAAATAATAATAATAATAAAAAATAAAACTTGATCAAATATAACTTAGCATGATTGACGTCAGCAATAATAAGGCAATTTTTTATGTATGCAAAATCTCCATTAATTTTGCTTCTTAGTACATAACTTTTTTTTATTTATTTAGTACCGACCAAAATTATTTTAGCATTATCGGGGTCAATCATAGAGTGATATATGTTTCTCTTAAATGTATTAGTTATTATTTCTCCATTAATGGTTCTTTCTTTTTACTATTTATTTTAAATACAATTTCCATTGTTGTTAAATTATTCAGTTTTATCGAAAGACATTTAAAAGCGTATCAATAAATTGACGCATGATTTTAAATAACTTTAAGGAATACTAATTTGGCAAAATTAAACGTACATGCAACAAAGTTCACAATAATAATTTAATTTATCTGATATAATAAATTAATTATAAGAACATGGAATAAACTTTTTTTTTAAATCATCAGAGCTACAAGCTCGCAAACATAAATGATGTCAATTTCAAATTGTTGTTTATGGATTAACATAAAACCATGCCTAATGCTGAACCAATTAGAAAATTCTATTTTACAGGATTCTCTCAAACAATGTAATTGGAAATTTGGAAGTTTTTCGGATTGAGAGGTAAAAATATACCCTGCAGCTGCTGTACAAATTTCATGATGATAGAATAAATGGTTCTGGATTTATAAGAAACACACAGAGAGATGCCAAATGTTTCATTTTATTATATGTATATATATATATACACACAGTTTCATTATCTAGCAATGAATATAAGTATTTAAGTAACAAAATATACAGATTAACTTAAAATGAATATTGACAAAAATAATGTACCTGATAATAATATCTCAAAACCCAACATAATCCCTCTACATACGCTAGAGCCTGAAAATAAAATATATATATTAATATTTTTTAAATCAATCCTTTTTGTAAAATAGAGAATATTTTTAAAATTATTAGTAATTACAAAATAACTATTAAATGTGTTCTTACAACTTTACGTCTGAAGTCAATATCATCGCTGTCAACTTTAAACTTAACTTCATAGTATCTTTCCTTCCAACCATCTTCCCATAACCTGCAAGATAATTCACAAGCTTTAGAATTCACACCTCAATTATTCAAAAGCAAAATTATTAGAGTTTCAATACAGTTAACTGAATATTACACTTATTTGTATAAATGAGAACCAGCCGTTTTCATATTGTAATTCATAGTGCAGCACAAAACTTTTTCTATTTTTTTTCGCAAACAACCAACAAGATTTTTCTTACAGCTAATTGAAATTAATTTAACAGAAAAAACATTTATAAAGTCTCGTATTTAAAACAGTTACAAATCATGAAGGTTTTGAAAAGTGGACACCTTAAAAATTATCTGAATTTCTCACAGCAAACACTGAGTACGCATTAAATCCATTATTTTCAAACCAAAGATGGAAACCTTAAAATATCTTTGCTTACACAGTGATTTTTTTCCCTCAACTTTTATTGACTCAACCTGTTTGTTGTATGTAAATCTATATTATTAAAATATTTTAATGTATAGATGATTATTTTAAAATGTTTTAAATAATCATCTATACATTAAAATATTAAAGACTAATGAGAAAAATATTTTAAATAAAAAATAATTTTTTTTAAAAGAGACTCTTTTATTCTTAGCAAATCTTAAATATCAGAAAGTTAAAGGAGAAACTGTAAAGCAGTTAAGTTATTAAAAGCACTGGAGCAAGTAAATGTACCGCTGCTAATAAATCATGATTTGTAAATCAAGTTTGTACAAATCCTGAGAAGTGAATCTATAATCACACTAGAATTTAAAACATGTCTCATAGAGAAAATGTACAATTTTATAGTCCTTATCATAAAATTCTATTAAAATAAAATCTTTGAAGTTTAACAATATTTAAAAATTGTTAAATAACTCTTTTAAATATTCTTCCTTCAATTTTAATTATAATTTAGAGTTAAAAATTTTTCAAAAATGAAATAATGCATTGAATTAATTTAGAAAACACACAAACTACAAAACAAACTAGATAGAGTATAAAAATGAAACTTTTTTAAGATTCTCATAATACAATTTTAAATACATTGGAACCATAATAAAAGAAAAAAAATCAAGTAGTTGAAAAAACAAAAATATGTGCTGTGAAAAACACATTAAAAAGATTAGCATTCTATTATTTACAGAAAAAAACCTTTAACAACTCACTTAACATCATCTTCAGGTTCTGGTTCAGATTCCGGGTCTGATTCATTTTCATTCTTTCTTTTGACACCACCTGATCTGGAATCCTCTGATGGAGAGTCAGCCTTTTATGGGCAAAAATGTAAATAAATAAACTAATTGGAATTTTATAATGCAGATTATAATTTGTTATTGCAAAAACAATATAAAATCCAACCCTAATATATATTTTCAAAATCTCTACTAATAAATGATAGGAATGTTTTAAAAGAGGAACTTACTGCTAAATAAAAAATAAGCAAGGGTGATGATAATAAATAGAAACTTACAGGTCTCAACATTGATTCAAAGCGTTGTCTAGTTTCTTGTGGATTACCTGGAGTCATTCGCATCTGATAAGCCTCATGTCTAGCATTTTGAACTGGTGATGGTGATCTGGATAATGACTAAAAAATTTAAACGAATCATTTAGTTAAATAATTTAATAGGCAACAAAAACACAGAGTTTGAACAAAAATGTTTTGCAATTTGAGAATAAAAAATTTTGATAAATATGCATCCTATAATATAATATAATCCTAATACACATATAAATTTTTTTTCTCCTACTTGCACTTAATCTCACAATTTCGTTTAGAAATTAGGAGAGAAGAATTCTGAAAGTATGATTATCTATAAAAGATAAGGATAGTAGATGAGTGTGTAATCCTTAGACAATTAAGGAAGTAAAAATATCGCAGAATTCAAACAGATATATAAAATACTAGTTCCTAAAGTTTCTCTAGTAATTTTATGCTGTACAACACAACTAAATTGACAAAAAATATAGAGTAAGAAATCACCAGAAATATATTGAACATATTTTTAAATATTTCCTTTTTTTTGTAACAATTTATCAAAAATGTAAATAATACACAGTGTCCTAAAAGTTTAAAGAAAGAAATTTCTAATAAGTTTTTTTTTTTTTCAAACAACCAGATATTTTGGATTTACTTAAAAAAAAAAAAAATTACTAATTTTATAAACAATAGAAGAAAATAATACACAGTGTAGCGTCCTAAAATTTTAAATAGAGAAAGTTCCAATAAGTTTCCCCCCCCCCTAAAACAGATGTTTTTGTTTCAATTAAAAAAACAAAAAAACTCAATATAAATATTTTCTTTTATGTCAACTAAAAAGTTTTTTTATACTATTAGTCTAAAATTTGTCATTTGTACCATAAATATCAGTATGGCAGCTTTTATGATGTTGTTACATCTTTTTTCTTATCTGAACTTAAAAACCAGAACTGTCACTTTGAAGAAAACAAATGTTTATCACTTTCACGAATAGATTTTTTTTATAAAACCAATTATTTTTTGGATAAGTATGATTTTTAGGCAAAACTAGAACACAATCTAAAATTAAAGATATTGCAAAATTATTTTTTTTAGCACTATTAGCAACAGAATGTAAACAATTGCCAATTAAAACAACCAATACAGAAAGTGTTAAGATACACACAAGTTGAATAAAATGGAAGCTTCTTTCACAGTGTTAACACAAAAGTAAATAAAGATGTTTGAAAATTTTATTTGACATACCCTAGGACTAAATTGCCCACCTGGTGTCCAAGCTGGCCTGTCATCTCTGTTCATCTAAAAATAAAACAGAACAAAGTTAAAATTTGGTATTGATGGAATGCTCTCAGATAATTGCCAAGCAAAAACTTCTTTGAACAGAAAGATCATTTTCTTGTAAGATATAATTTGAAGGTTGTTTTTAGAAGCTTTGAACAAAAATAAATAAATAAATAATGAGTTCAGTTTGATTGTCTCAAACTCAAAGTAAATATATAATTTTATATTAACGATACTAAATTGCTAAAATTAACTGAATAGACTTAATAATAAGCAAATATATTTTTAAAGAATTTTTAAACTTTTTTAATAAATTGTCAATTTAGTGAGATATTTCCAACTAGTTAAAATTGATGAATATTTGTCAATTTTTGCTTTTTTTTTCAGTATTTTATGGAGCCTAAACAGATGGACTAATCTTTCAAACATTAAAAATTTAGATAACAACTTTTTTTCAGTATGAAGTAATATATTTTCTTCCTATTGAAATTTCATGGTATTTTTATTATTCTCGCAACGGGTGTTAATCAGAAATAATGGATGAATAAGAAAGAAATATATAGACAAGTAAAAATAAAATAACTAGCATATGGAATTTTTTTTATTTTAGCTGTGAGTATGATTATTGTCTACAATACCACATACCTTCATTCTTTTCCTTTTTGCCTTTTCTCGGGCTCGAAAAGATAACTAAAATACAAATTAGAGAAAGATAAAAAATCAACAGTGTTTTTTTAAAAATGAAATGCAATATATTTACTCATTATAAATTTGTTGAAGTAATAAAAAAAATATTATTTAATAGTAAATGAAAAACTTTTTACCTATCTTTTGTCCTTTACTTCACGAAACACAATTTTTTTTAAAAATTCCTTGAGTAATTTTTTATTATTCTTATTATAATTAAAATAACTAAAAATTTTTTTTTTTTAAATCATTATCATTTATAGACCCTATCTTCGACACTTTATGACTATCTTAAATTATTCATCAAGCATTAATCAAAGATTTTGATTAACTTAATTTATTTATACATATAATTGAGGTGTTATGCTAAGTGCTAAAATATTTCAATTACTAATTTCCATTCATCATAGAATTCTGTGAATTCTTAAAACTAACTTAACTGCTCATTTACTAAAGCTGATCAATTTTCAAGATAATTTTATACATAATATTATGTTTTCTGTAGAAAATACAAAGAAAGAAACAAATATTTACGTAGAGTAAAAACGCTGAGTTTTAAAATCTAAATAATTTGCTTAGCGTCAATAAATTAATGAATTGGATTTTAAATTACAAAATTTTTTTCGATATCAGTCATTGACTATACTATTTTAGAGGCGAAAAGAAGTTCAATATAACTTATAAATTGGCTACATACGATTTAAATATATATAGCTAGAATAGCATTTCTACTAATAATTAAATATTTGCTGTAAAATATTAAAAAAATTGTGATACTTTTTAATTGATAACTTATAAATTAGTCTTATTCAGGTATTATATACATGAAAAACTGTAATTGTATAAAAAATGTAAATTAATATAATCTTGCTATCATACGGTTTAAAAAACAGTTATACAGAAAGCTCTTTGAATTCTGCATAACTAGGAACACGTAGATTTTTGAATTTTGCAGATTATAGATCTTCAATTTGTGTAAATTTTCATTGCACACTTATTAGTTTATAAATTTATTATATTTAAATATATAGTATTTGAAGGTAACTAATTAAAATTTATAACAAATAGATAATTTATATTTGAGTATTATATTTTTTAATTTTTTTTTTTTAGCTTTCTCTAAATGCAGTATCATTTGATTTTTTTACACTCCTAAGGATGAGAAGATGGTGAATATTAGAAAATCAACAGCATAACTTTATTTCAAAAAAAATAAATAAATAAATAAATAAAAAAAAATACACAATAATTTTTTAAACAATTTAAAATTAAAAAAAAAATAATTTCACAAAAATTTTAAAAAACAATTTAAAATTAAAAAAACAAAAACAAAAGACTACTTCATTGTCTTGCCGTCTCTTGAAAATTTCATCTTCAGCTTCTCCAAGATCTACAAGAAATTACAATAGCCACATAAAAATATATCTTCATACACTTTACTATTAACTATAACTTTCCATTTATGTACTGTGTAACATAGACACAGAAAAGAGTAAAACAAATTATAAAAATGGCAATTGGTAGAAAATGTGTCAAAATTTGTTGGCTATGGCACACAAAAAGCCTATTTATTACTTTTCTTTCTATTTTTTTTAAGGATACAAAGGAATTTATCAACAAAAGAGCTATTAAAATACTTTTTATAGCAGTTTTCTCTGTTAATCTTTAAAACTGCACATAGATCATCATTAACAACATTATATTGACTAAATTGAGTGATAATTGTATTTACACAAGATCCAATAAGTTGGAAAAATACTTTTGAGGATATTGTTTAGGCAATCTCATAAAGACAATTCTTTGGAAGACTCTTAAAGATCAATTTTTTTTCAAAATCAAGGGAAGTTTTCCTGAAGAAGTACAAATGTTAGTTATGATACTTCACAATTCATAATTGTAACAGATAACTATTTTGAATACTTTGATAAAAATTAAAATTATTCATTTTAAAATGCTTTGAAATAAATAAGAATGCTTATAATTGTCTAGTAAAACAAACTTATTTTTCTTATACTGTTAATGATTTGGCAGATCTCAATATAACTTAGATATATTATCAGCAGTCAATCACAAGATTTTTTTTAACCTGTTTTTTTTTATTAATAAATATAACAGTCAACTTTTCATTCAATTTTCAATTATAATTCTATTTTCAATTTGAGTCATTATTCAATGTCAAGACAATGTAAAAACAACTTTTTTTTTATAATTCAGTTCATCATCAGTATAGATTCAGCTCACTATTTACACAACAATATATGTGTTATAGCAGTGTTTCCCAAACTTATGACTTTTGTGTACCCTTTCTAAATTTTTATTAACGCTGTGTACCACTAATAAAAAAAATCAATGTATTTTTTACTATAAAAAAATAGCACAAAGTTAAAAATCACAACTGGCTGTTAACACCACTAATTATTAACTGTTAACTCTGCAAGAAATAGCCAATAGAAAAATACGTAATCGTAAATTTTCATGGCTACCTTTGTTTTTAAATACATTTTTTTGAAATTTTCGTTTGTTGCGAGATAATTCGCATAAGAACATGTACCCCCACTAAACTGTTCCCGTACCCCTGGGGGTACGCGTACCACACTTTGGGAAACACTGTTNGTAAATTTTCATGGCTACTTTTGTTTTTAAATAAAATTTTTTGAAATTTTCGTTTGTTGCGAGATAATTCGCATAAGAACATGTACCCCCACTAAACTGTTCCCGTACCCCTGGGGGTACGCGTACCACACTTTGGGAAACACTGTGTTATAGGATGGTTGTTTATTAACTATTAACATAAGGTGTTGTGGGAATAGTTCAATTAGCTTGGCTTAGGTTAATACTCATTTGTGTTGTAATACCAATAATGTCTCCCTCCTAGTATTCCATTAATAACAACTTCTTAATTGGCTTTTGATCACACAGGTTGGGAGTTCTTAACTCTTTTGATTTGCTATGCTTCTTCTAGCATTCATTATTGAAAATTATACAAATATATATATACATATATTGATGAAAAATTGTTTTCGAGTGAGCCCTCTTGAAAATATTTTCTGAGCAAATATCTACTTAAAAGATTTTCTCTTTATAATTAACTGTTCCTTTGGATTCAGATACGTTTAATCTTACTCTGTCTGACTTCTTATCACATAAACAACCTTAAAATTTAATAGATTTTAGATTTACCTCCCTTGGCTAAAAGTGGAAAATAGAAACAGTATGGCAATAGGTTTTCCTCAATATTGATACACACATATAATTATCTTACTAAATTTATTCAAAATATTGCCAACAATAAAGTCATTTCAATGTTTATTTCATTGTTTACTATCAAGGTCACAAATTATTTTATAAATGAATAAAGAAAAAAAATAACATTAAAAAAAACACTCAAGACTTATGGTAAATGTTAAATTAAAATCATCAAAGCAATTTTACAAGACAATAATACTGATTCATTTCCAGTGAAAATAAATGCAGACCAGTCTGGTTTCAAACCAAAACCAGAGTAATTGAAATGATCCTTTTAATTGAAAAAGAAAACCTGAAATAACTTTTCCCATTCATAACTAATTTAGAACAATCAATGATTTTAAACTTTTTTAAAAAATCATTTGCTTAAATAAGAAAATGAAAAAAAGAAGTTTTGTAGTTATGTATATAAAATTTTCCAACATGGTATAATAAGGCTTAATTGGCATTTCCAATGATAAATTTATTAATTTCTAATTTAAAATTAAGGACAACAATTTTAAAACTTAATATTGTAATGTAACAGCTTTTATATATTTCGCTGCAAATTCTAATCATACCTGCAATCAAACAAAATAAAAACAGGCAGATCTTAATTAATAACACAACTCATTTACAGACTAAGTTTTCTTTTTCAAACATTCATTTACAAAATCATTTCAAAGGATTAATTGAATAATTTGTTTACTTATAAACAAAAAAGCAACATAAAAAAGAAAATCTTATGTTACAATGTTTAAAATAAATACAACTATTAAGTGTATGAAAATCAAATTTAACATGTTAAATAGTATACCATTCATAATGAGTTGAACTCTATTCAGATCTACATGTCCACTGTCAGTCACAAATCCCTGAAAATTTAAATAAATTTCTATAAGAAATAAAAACATAGATATTCATATTAATTAGAGAATTTTAATAGAAATGAATATTATTCATTATGAATAATTTTAAGATTCACAGAGTTTATGTAATAAATTGGATCTTAAGAGTAGGTAAATCTAGAAAAAATAGCACGAAATGTTGCCTATAAATGTGTGAAGTACAAAGCCACGTATTGGCGAAATTTCAATCTATTTTTTACACTGAAAACTTAGGCCTCATGATCTACAGAATATATGAGGGGTTTTATTTAGATCAATTTAGTAAAACCAGAACTAGCTTCATTTAAACTACCCTGTATGTTACTTTTTGACCATTAAATGTAATTTTTAACTGTAACTATATGTTTTAAATAAACTCTTATGGTATAAGACATAGATTAGAATATAGTAAGTTTTAAATTGAGACAACACTTGAGTTGGTATTATAAGTTTTAATTGTTATCGAACTTATCCTTTGTTTGTGAAAAACTAAGAAACAGCATTTATTACGTAAACAGCTTATATAAAAACAAGGAAAAAACCTCACAAAAATCCAAATTGTATGAAAAGAAAATTCTTTAAAAATCAAACTAGGTTACTCACTATAATTCGAAACAAGTAAACAGTTCATTAAATAAGTATAACAATGCACATTTTTCTAGAGAAAAAAACTTTAACATCTCATCATGAACAACTTTTTTTTAACCTTCTTTCTGTCTTTTTTTAAAAAAATAACAGTAAAATTCACAATGCATTTGAATTAACTCAATTTACCATGTGAGCAAATAAATTAAAAAAATATATAAATAAACATGAAAAAAATAATCAATATTAAATTAGTTTATACGCACCCCAGTTTTATATACTGCCTTTTTATAAAGATCAACCAAACGATCAATGGCTCCTTCTCTAAAAAAATACAAAATGTTAAAACATGGATATGCAGAATGTTTTATAATGACGACCTTTAATACATAAATTTAAAATATTCGTCAAATAAAATTTAAAAGTACACACATTAGCATTTGCAAATAAATATCTAAGTAAGGTAAATACAAAAACACAGATAATATTGAATATATCACCATAGAAGAAGATGGAATTTTAGACATGAAAATCAGTTTGATTGTTTCATGAAACTTGAATGTAATTTGTAAAAACCATCTTTTAACTCATTTTTGCTTCCATTTGTAACCAAATAGGATAAAACAGTTTAATTCTGCTTTCCTCATTAAATTAATAACAGATATATAAAGATTATAAAGTCATGTCAGATAAAATTTATAAAAAAGCATTTGCCAGAATATTTTTCACTTAATATAAAAATTAGGGCCAGAATAGCCTGGTTGGTAAGGCGTTAGGCACATATCCAAGAGGTTGTGAGTTTGATTCCTGCTGGCCGAAGCCCCCCCCCCCCCCCAAAAAAAATGGTGATGGGGGCTTGCTAAATCAGTCTGGGTCACTAAGTCCTCCAAGTTCCCATAACAAATTAATACTTCTGGGGGTACAGGATTGGAGATTGATCCTGCTCTGGTTCAGATCAAAATTATGATTGGTGGATGGATGGATGGCGTGTGAGTGTGTCAACGCTGTAAAACACGTGGTGACATATTTTTTAGGCAGAAGTTAAATTCTTGGCCATAGATGGAGCCACTGGAAAACGAGAAGAAGCAAACCCTCTGCCTTAAAATAGGCATGTTTGTATTAAAAAGTGGCATAAGATAGCGACAATATAAATAAAATTAAAAAAATTCACAAGCATCATTTATCATTGTAACACATTGTTTCATTCATTATTTTAAAGAACATATTTGCAACAAATATTTTATAATAATTAACTGATTTGGAATGTATTTGAGTAGGGTAAAGCAAACAGTTAACATTGCTTTCTTAAAAGAAATAAAAGTGAATAGATGCTAATAAAAATGCACTGAAAACTCAAGGCAAAGGACTGGCTCTCAATAAGCCAAATCAAAACTATTTTATGATAAATAATAAAAACAAGTTTAAAACTGCTTGCTAAATCAACAAATTACCCAAAAAAAATTCAATAATAGTTTTATTTGATGAATTTTACAGTTGACATAAAATATTTATAAAACATTTAATATCAAATCTTACTATCTTACATAGCAAATTTATAAGAGTTTCCTCTATCCGTATCTTTTCTTACATGGCAAAGCTTAAAAGTTTAAATGAATTCTAAATACATATAAAAAACTCAGTCTACAAAAACAATATTATAATGCATTATTTACCTGATTTCTAGAGATGGGAGATGAGGTAAAAAATCATTTCCAACAAAAAAGCACATAAATACCCAATCATCAATTGCTCGCTACAAACCAAAACGTTTCATAATTAAAAATAAATTTTTCAATTCATAATGCTAAAATGCAAACAAAAATAGGAAAATATTAAGTCAATAAATAGATATAATTCTATAAATAGAAATTTTTAAAAAAAACTGTGGTTGAAGGGTAAAAATATTAAAATATTTGTTAATAAATTAGAGAGCTTTCTTAGGACACACTGAGAATATAATCTACAGACAAAAAGGGGGTTGGGGAAGAAAAAAAAAGGTAATTTATTAACTACAAATGATATATTTATAGATATGCTTTTTTTTAATAGTATAACTATGGTTCATTACTGCTGTTTATTAAATTTTCCTCATTTTTTTTTTAAAAATATCCAATTCAAAAGAAAGTATATAAAAAGTTTTGAATTCTAATGGTTTGAAATAGAAGGAAAAAAAATAATTCCAAAGTCTCAATATGTAAAATTAAATTACATATAATACAGAAAATCTAATCTTAAAATAAATATTCAGTTGAATTCCACTATAATGAACCTTGGAAATAGTGAATGGATGGACATAGGGAAAAAAACTTAATAATTTACAAATAAATTTACCATCATAACCACAATTTCTATTGCCATATGCTAAAAAATAATTTTTTAAACAAATTGGATACAGTAAACCAAAATTTACAGTTGACTTTTTTCTTGGTCTGCATATAGTACACTATAACAGGCTTCAACTGTATCTTTTACAATTCACTTTAATATAGTAACTTGCCTAAACCTTATGAATAAAATATAATTAAGACAGAAGTATTTTGTATGAAGAAAAGACAGATAGTTTTGAAAGCTCAGTTGTACAGAAGAGATATACATTAATCACTCCCAAGAGTTCACATATTGATCCGAATTCTGAAGAGAACTTTTCAAAAAATTATATTCTAATTCTCGAACATTTATGTTCTTGTAATAAAAAAAAGACTCGTAGAAAGCAATTAAATATTACTAGCATTAGAAACTAATGTTTTTACAGTATTTTACTAGTTGCATATCATCTCAATTAAATACTTAAATTACAAATTTATCATGATTAACAAAAAACTGGGTCCATAATCTTTTTGTCAAAAACATTGTAGGCCTGCTTTTTAAATTAAAAGACTAAAGACATAAGTTATTCTAAACAATTGGCACTAAAATAAATATAATACTTCTATAATATTTATTATTATAATAATCATAAATATATAAATTTCTTTAAATAAATTTTTTTATTTTGAAAGCATTTTTTTTCCATTATTATTATTGTATACACACATATTTCTATTTCATCTTTATCCTATAATTCTTTTGTTGAAATTTTCCTGGCACAACATCCTTAATAATAAATGCAGTCAAAACAAGTTTTCAGTAATGATATATGACACCTTATCAACGTCATTTTCTCAAAAATTTCTTAAATGACAACTTGACAATTTTAAATATGAAATAATTCATTTTTTGAGCTGAGTAATACAAGAATAAAAAATTCAAGGATAAATTATCTAGGATATGCTTCAATTTAATACCTTTAAAGAATGCATCATAAGAAAATAAATATATAATAAAGAACATAATTAGGTAGTAAAATTGTATAAACAAGCAATATGTATAAACGAGCAATATTTATCTTACTTCTAAATCATACTGGAATGGTAAGTTTTCCATAGCCAATTCTTTAGCAAGATATTCTCGCAAGACATTTAAACGGATGAAAATAAACTCTGTATCAATTTCTAGAGGCTTTTCCAATTCATCAAACTGCAAATGAGAAAAAATCACAATGTGCACTTTTTCTGTTAATGAGTTACAGAAAATAGTTATTTGTTTAGGTTTAAGAATTTTCAGAAAGCAAATAAAGTTTCCTTTTCAAAATATTTGGATATATATTGATTTCAAAAAGTGTTGAGCGTTTTTCTTTCCAAATTTTCCAAAAATAGAATTTTTTTACAGTTGAGATAAGGGAATTATATTATAGGTTAAATATATTATCAAGTTTCCATTTCCAATATATAATTTAATAACAAAATTATTCTGAACTAGAATTAAAATATACTTTACTAGACATAAAGAAATTAAAAACATTTTAGTATGGGGCCCATATATTCTTTTTTGACTGCGGAGCCAATGGCTGCGGGTTCGAATCCCGCTCTGGGCATGGATGTTTCTCTCTGTGCTGTCCTCTGTTATGTGTGAATGTGGCCCACCCTATGAACGGGTTTGTGGCAGTGTGGCGTGGGTAATGTTGCTCGCCTCCGTGACTTAGGTTCACAGGTGCCCACTGGGTAACGCTAAATGAGCAACACTTCCGGCATCTTCCGAGGCGAAGAACGAGAGTTCAAGTGCCTGCCGTTATTTTAAAAATATATATATATATTCTTTTCATAAAACTTCAGATTTACTTACTTCACCTTGTTTCTGTTTCGCCCCTCCTGTACACTCTTTCATGTCATGACCTTAATAAATAGAAGGTAAACAATAAACAGTCAACAATAAAAAATTATTATTTTTTCAATATATTAATACCAACAATAAATATCAAAACATTGACATTTAGCTTTATATGACATATAATTACCGATTTTCTTTTTCGAAAAACTAATTAACCTTCATCATTGTTAAGGTACTTCCTATTCAAAATGTTTTGAAATCAATTAATTATCACAAATATTCTGTATTCTGCATCAGAAGGTGAAGAGCATCAAATGATTATTTGTCGATTTAATTGTAATATTTATGGACATCCAAACTTTTTCACCAAGATAATTACACAATATTCCGGTGGAAATGTTTGAAATAAATTAAGAGAATCAATTAACCAAAACTACAACTTACAATAATACCAGACAATACAGTTTTTGGAAGGTTTTTAAAAGATTAAAAAAATAGCTTCAGACATTATATATCTTTTCCCAATGAGCTTTAATAAACCTATGAATTTCTTATTTTTTTTGTAGTTTTGTGAGATTTTAAAGCACATAAGCTTTTTATATAAAATATTAATATCATATGTCAAGATAATCCAGCTTTCTTCCATAGATTTCTGTTATTTTAGAATTTAACAATTTTAGCTTTATTGAAAATATATTGCATATAAATTTCCCTTAACATAATTTCTTACAATTATGCAAAATTTTAGTTTCATAAAGGAATTTATGTATATATTTAAGCATCCATTTGTTTTGCTATTTTTAAGGGCATTTTGATTATGGAAATGTTTTATGTTCTTAAACTTTGGGTAATGCTTATAATTCAATTCAAACAAACTTTTTTTCATTGTTTAAAATACTTTTTTCATAAAACACAATTACACAGGATTTTTTTCCCTGAAGGTTGGAAGTATCATATCAAATAAATTAATATCAATAATAAATGGCGATTAATGAACCAAATGTATTAATGGCAAAAGCACAATAAGGTTGCTTTGTTGCAAAAAGGTTCAACGCTACTATATCTTTTTAGAATCAGACTTTTTTTTACCAATGTTTTATTAATAAAGAATATATTTAATTTTAATATAACTCCAGAAATAATTTATCTTTGCCATGACATTAGATAACACTTTTTCTCAATAAATTTGACAAGTTTTGTTTTGTATGTGAGTAACAGAGTTTATAAAAGTGGATTTGAACACCGATCAAATGATGGTGAGTTTGAGTATGCGTGTGTAGCTATCTTTCTGAATTTTTCATTAAAAAAATGCTTTGATTAATATTCTAACTATGACCATGGGATTCTTACTGCTTAGAGTGTTTTGCTGCTTATTTTCTCTTTTCAGGTTTTCTCCTAATGGCCACAAAAGTTTTGTAAAAAAAAAAAAAAAAAAAAAAAAAAAAAATATGCACAACAGCAAACTTTTAGAAGCATGTTTTAAAATTTACAACTTGAACAAAAATAAAAATTACAGTTTAAAGAAATTATTATATTAAATAAATAATAATTTAAATAAAAAAAATTTTTTTTATAAACATATTCAGCAATTTTACTTCACAGTATTAAACTTTAATGCTTGTTTCAAAATGTCATTACTTATTCAACTCTAAATTGAAATAATTTATTGTTAAAAGCTAATAAAAAATAGAATATTTTGTTAATAATTGCAATTTAGTTTTAATATCTTTAATGAAATTGTTTCATTAATTTTCAATGCAACTAAACTTTTTTTAACAGAATAATTTTTTTAACAACCCTTTAATTCACCATTTTTTTAAAATCAATAATTATTTAATTGTTAATTAGATTAAAATAATTTTAAATGAACTGCATAAAAAAATTGATTCAAACTTTTGAAACTGATGTCCACTATAGATGATTTGATTCTATCTCTTAAAAATAATAAACAAGTATATGATCCCTAATCCAACCTTTTTAAATTTTCTCAAAATAAATTATTGTCATGACATAAATCATTTACAAACATAAAGAAAGAAAACATTTTTATAATGTTATTCAAGAGTCCTAAAAATTTAAAAACAACAGATTTGCTAGGATAGGTAAGATAGTTCTTTCATTTTTGTATAATTTATGGATTTTGTAAACCAGGCTATCTTGAGACTTACCTATTTGACCACATAATTCACAGGGCCTTGGTTGATTTGGCTTAAACTCTTCTCGAATAATAGTGAAGTTGGGTTCATGCGTAGCTAAGCCTAAAATTAGAAGAAAACAATTAAGCATGGCGTTCTGTTGTGTAGTTAATATTTTATTTATAAAAATGAGACAAACAGGGTTTAATTGAATTTGATATTTAAATGCATAAGTCATATAAAAACATTAAAAAAAAAAATTTTTTTTTTAACTTTCACAAATGGTACTGGAAAAGAAAAATAAATATTTCATTTATATTTTCTAAATTAGCAACAAAATAAAGTTAAGTAGAAAAGATAACATTAAATTTGATTTAAAAAAAAGTGATAATTTTAAATTAGTTCTTCTTATTTTTTTCTTCTTTCTGTTCAGTTTTGATTAGTTTTTGATTATTTTTTTTCGGTATAAGATCAGTTTTGATTATTCTTTTTTACAGAAATTGCATCACTTAGGATAGTTCTTAAATATGCAGCAATCTGGAGAAGAACATTAATAAAAACAAAATCATAAATAGTAGAAATTTCTTTTATTTGTATTTTCTTGTAAGAATGAATAATTTTTATTTGTTTTATTTTTTATGTATAACAATATGCCATTAGCGTCTTAACAATTTGTCCCGTCTTTCATAATTTTGAAACTAAATAAAAAAATAACGTAAATCAACGAAGATTCATTAAATAATAATAAAGATTTAGAACAATTCTCCATTAGAACTTAGCATGCTTTGTTCAAGATAGCAGTGCCTCAGTTCAAATATAATTAGACTAAAATTGCAGAAATATTTCTTTCTTTGAAGAAAGAAAGGGAAAAACAAAAAATAAAAAACAATAATTCAGGTAAGAATAAGCCCTTGCTCTGGTAGTTGTGGTTCAACCAAATGAAATTGCATGCAACTTTCTCAACATCTCTTTCAATGACTTGACAGCTCTTTAATTGCCAAGGCATTCTTTATAATTTATTTCCCTTCTGTTACTTTTTGTCAAGGTGGTCACTATCAATGTCTTCAAGTCAATCCACCTTACTCAGGGCCCAGCTCTAATTCTGATTTCAATTGATTTAAAATTAAAGATTCTGTATATTAAGGAGGATGGGTTTCATTCAGCAGATGATTACAACAAATATAATTCAACTACCTTTGTAGTTTATAATATTTGCTTTTCTTTAACACTTAACTAAATTTTTGCAACTGATCTTTCAGCATTAGTTTATGCAAATGTTGCTGATTTGAGCAATTTTAACAAATTAGAATTTAAACCAACTTGGTGAAGATGGTTAATCTGGTAATAATATCAGAATTTCGATATTTTCAATACTGACACTAATATTTACCAAAAAACCATAACTAAATCTACAAAGAATTAACAACTCAGATACCTAAAGCAAATTTTATTGCTCAAACTATATCATTATTTGCAAAATTCTATTTTAGTTTTTAGATAGCTAAACTTGCTACCTTTTTTTATGGGAACAAAATTGAAAAATTAACTTTCATATTATAAATAATAAAGCTTTAGCAATAAAATATAAATCAACGAAAATACTTACCCAACATGATCAAGTCAGCTAAAAAAAAAGAAAGAAAATGATTAAATTAGTAGGAATACTTAACAAATATTAGATGGGTAATAACAAACAGTAATGCACATGCAAAACATATAACTTTAAAGTTAAGCATAAGGTTTCATTTTAAATAAATAAATAAATGAACAAATTCTGAATATTAAGTTAAACAATTTTATATTTGATTTAATTAATTTCAACTTATTATGTATTGCCTTACATATTACAATATTGACTGTCTAATTTTGTATTACATGAAACTACCTTAGCAGCAAAATANGGCTCAGTAAGGATTCAAAGAACCTTTATTTTTCCGATATTGGTCCTATATAGAATTTTATAATTCACCCAATATTTTACAGTTACTTTACAACCTATTTCGGCTTTATATAGAGTTGACAGATTCACCCAATATTTTATTCAGCTAACTAGGCCCTATGTGTAGGCCTATACAGGACCAATAATAATAATCTGGACATTCCAATATTGGTCCCTTGGTGCATGTTCATTTAGGACCCACAATGAGCCCAACTGGGGCCAAGGCAAAATTGTTGCCAGGATATATTACTGTTCCACTTATTTGCTATTTTAATAGGTATTTTTTTTAAAAAAAACTTCTATGCAGCAGTAATAAAATTTTGAATCTCGGAAAAACAAAAGAGCCATATCTATTGTTCAATTTAAGTTCAAACTCAGATTTGAAGTTAAAAACACTAGTAGACTTTTTCTTTTTGCAAAGTGGCATTTCATAGATTGACAGTGATCGAGAATATTCTTAAATAAATAGAGCGATGAAAATAGTTTTGACATAACAGCAATTGCAAAAATTGATTTTAAACTTAAGAGTCCGCTTTAACTTTAAAAACCGTATCCAGCAAGCTTTTGAGTAAGTTATAGTAACAAAAATAGATGCCATTTTTAAGCGATACTTAACAATATCTTTAATTCATATTATTAATTCAACTAACAACAATCAGATAAATCTAGTATTAAACAGTGAAAAATATTTCAAAAAGTGAAATATTTGATTTCGAAATAGGTGAGTTAGATCACAAATAGGATGATAAAAAAAACAAGCGTAATTGGCTAATTTACTGACATGCTTTGCAAAACTAAAGGCAAAAATTGATTGTCTTACATAACTTTTTCTAGAAAACTAATAAAACATTAAAACTTTCAACTAGTTTTTACTTTGGTGGAATAAATGATAAAAATATAACTAAATAAAAACACATTATTTTTAGTATGCATTAGAACACAGTAATCAAAAACAAATGCATTAAATTTGTAGATTTAGGAAATCATTTAAGAGATAAATTATTCAATATTAACTTGAGTCTTTTTATGAGTGAATTTTTAAAATCAATGTACAAAAGAAGTGCTACATTTTCTGTTTGTAAAAAAAGGCAAAAAACACATAAAAGAAAATAAAAGTAATAAATACCATCTGCTCCACATAGACAATGACGAGTGTTTGCATCATGATCAGGATTAGCTGCATACATTTTTAAAATAAATATTAATGAAACAAAATAAAAAATGAATGATTTTACGTAATATAATTTCATTGTTAAAATACATTTACAATTCATATTAAAGTAGTTTAAGACAATTGCTTACAAGAAACATATGTGAGTAATTTATACAGTATAATTAAACAAAATTGCCTTCCCATAGAAAAAAAGCTAAAAACCTACAATAGTTATTTGGGAAAATTAAAAATACACTTAATTTAATTTCAACTTGGTAAAAAAAAAAATTCTGAATTCACATCTTAGTTAATTGATATCATCCTTATTAAAGCAATACATTAATAAATAGTGATTAGAGGGGAAAAGACTGTGATTTTGAAAAACTGAGGTTTGATCCCTAATGGTGGCTTGAAGCTCATTCAGCTTCAGATCAATGGATACCAACTTATCTGGGAAATAAAGGTGGCCTGTGCAAACTGCTGACCAAATTGCCACAATCATGCCATTGGTCAAGAAGTTGCAGAGCCTTAACCTCTATGACCCCTCTGGTCTATAACAGACAATTGCGGGACTACTTCATTGATAAAATATTAATTTATATATTGTGTTTTACTGCAATCCAAATGTTTCTTACAATAACTCAAATGTTCAGTGGAGTTTGTTATTTTCAAAAAGTTGTGTATTCTCATTTTAAGATTCTCCTTTATAAAGATAAGTTGATTTATCTTTCTCAATTAGTTTATTTATTTTTCTGAAGATATTGGTACATGAAGTAAACTCAATAATCTCTTATAAACTTGTGAAATCTAGGAGTAGATTTTCTTGATAATTACAAGTATGCTGTTGGAATTATCAATCATGAGCAAAACAATTTCTTTCTCTAAAGTATTACCGGTTTTAAAGTTATTTTATTTTGCAAGAAAAAAAAAGTACTTAAAATAGTTTAATGTCAAATTATTAATAAATGTCAACATAATGAAACACAAATACTTAACAGTGCAAAAATATTTTCATCATAGTTTAAATTAAAACAGCTACGTATAGACATAGACAGTTTTGTTTCAAACAGAAATTGTTTTGCAGGGGCTTTGTTAAGATTATTCCATTTTTGAAACCATAACAAAATGGAATGAACTGGTCAAAACCCCTACAGAATTTTTTCTTTTTTGCAAAAATGATAAGAACTTTTTTTAATTAATATTTTTACTTCAATCTTTTAATTAATTTTATTTTTAGACTACAAACACCTAACGTAAGTACAAAGGACTGGACATACATCATTGAGTTCACTGTAAAACATATACAGTCTAACTTATGTTGTGAAAATGTAGCCAATATTTTTTTACAAAAATTAATACAAATTCACAGCTTTAAAATAAAAAAATGCAAAATTCAAGTTGGAAGCTTTGCGTTGGTTAAATATTCAAACGAAACCTACTTATTCATTAGCAGATATAAGATGTTAAATAAATACTTTTTAAAGATGTCATATATAAACAGGCACAGCTTTAGGCAAGTGGTGAGATGGAAGAGTTGCTTTAAAAACTCTAATTGAACTTTGTTTTTGTTGCTATGAAATAGTCTAATTTTGAATTATATACAAATAATAAACAAATGGTTAATAAAGTAGAACGTTTAACTTACACCGTTGTCTTCTAATGTAATCCATTATTTTATGTTCTCCTTCACCAGGCACATTTGCATCAGACAGAATAACTTCAATATTTTTCCAACCGGGATCACTGTTTAATCTGTCATGAATGTAATAGTGAAGGCACTTGGCAAGACGTGCCATAAAAGGTGTTCCCTACAATAAAATTAACAAAATAAATATAAAGTAAAAAACACAAATACAAAAAGGATTTTAATATGAATTGTTTGGATGGGAAATAACTGATTTGAATAGACAAATAATGAAATATAAGCTATTCTAAACAAAAATAATACAAAAAAATTATACTATTTACTAAAATCACACTTGTAAATTAAAAAAAGCATAAATAAAAAGAAATTAAATAAAAAATGATTGCAGGGCTTTCAGCAAAGTTAGCAACAACAATAATAATAATAAAAGTATATATATTTATTACAAAAACATTTAAAATAGTAGTCAAATTCCCCATTGAAAAATAAAGTAATAAATTATTCAATAGTTTTATTTAATAGGAGATAATTAAAATAGTTTACATGTGGCATGTAGTTTTAGCTGGAAAAAGAACAGATTTTTTTCATTGCTCTGATCTAGAAACCTGATTGAGCGAGGGAGATAAAGAGTAACGAAAAGAAACTCTTCATTGGCTCAACATATTTATTCAGACATGCAGAAAATGATTATGATGCTATTACAAGTAAATTTCCAGATAATGTTCACAATTTGATGTTCTAATGCAATTTTTTTATTATATGCCAGCTTTGCTTATCATTTTGGTATTCACATTTAAAATTAGCTTACACATTTAAATCACTTTGCATAGATACACAAAAGTAAATAATCTGGAAGAAAAAAATGTGGTTTTTAATAAAATTTTGTTAAATTATTATTTAGCCCAGCATAAATACAAAACGTACTTAATAATCGTCGAACTATTTAAAACTCTGAGCATTGATTTCAGTTTTATTTATAAACTTAAGCTAGTGACTGCCTTGCAACAAACACTGGTATCTCCTATGTAATTATGAGAGAAAATTTCGTATATTACTGCCTTCAGTAGAAAAAAAAATGCTTAGTATTAAAGACACTCTGATTTTCGATAAATGATAAATGAACTACAAATATTATTTTGTGATACTGATAAATAAATATTAGAAGCTTGTTACTAAAAATACAACACATTTATGACATTAAATTTTTCAAACTAAATGAAGTACTTACTGGGGTTATACAATTACTATCAAAATGTTCTTCTTTAGGCTTTGCTGGAGGTAGTGAAATACCCTTGTCTGCTAATTCCTCTCGCAAACGAGCAATCAAGTCTACTTTTTCTGTTGTTTCCTTAGCAGCACGAAAACGTCTCGATCTTTGTTGGTTCATTTTAGCACGTGGAGCCTAGAAAATATGCAAGAGTTTATATGAAGAACTTCAAAAGACAAGAGTTCAAAGTAAAATTGCAAGTTACTTACTACACCATCTATAGCCATGTAGAGTAGGCGTCTAGGTCTAACAATGTTAAATATTCTGTCAATGTACTCAAAAATAGCAATCATCATTTCTTCCTCATCTTTTGGAGCAGCTCTAAAAAATAATAAATATACATCAGTGACAGAAAATTAGAATGAAACTTTTAAAAACAAAATTTTGTTTGCTTGCTATAAAACTGCTTTGGTTTACTAAAATTTTAATCTGATCATCAATACAGGAAAGAAACATTTTGGTAACATAGACGAGAAAGAATAACATTTCAAGAAATTCGATGCGGGATACACAGTGTTTTCACTACAGCGCGAGAATCTCGCATATTTTTTTCTTTTCTCGCATTAAAAAATGATTACCGCGAAAAATTCGCGCATTCTATAAATCACTTTCAAAATTCTCGCATTTTGGAAAAAGCTTCGAATTACGTCATTTAGAATAAAATCCGTTTCACTTTTCTTACTGGATCTTTCATTATTTTCAACATCTGCCCCATTATCTAGCTTCCCTATTTACCAGTATTGTTCAGAACCTTTTCGAACAACAGAACACAACCACGGAACCCCTTTCAGAACACATTTCTCTGCAACCACGTGTTTACCGTAGGTAAGGTTTCTTCATGTAAGACGTTCAAATTTTTTATGCACTTATGCAAGATGGACAAATACCTTGTAAAGGCAAAATCTTCTATGATGATGCATCAAAAATATTCAATGCGTTAAAAAATAGAAGACGTTAAAAATGTATTATAATTAAAGAAATGATTTTTTTTCAAGAGTTTTTTTGTTTTTTTAGAAATCTCACTTAACTTTTTTAAATCTCACCCTGTGTTTGAGAAAGGGTGAGAAATTCTCACCCATTTTTTCTCTATGATGAAAACACTGGATACAGCACTGTATTTTATTAACTTCATGTTAATTAGCATTCTAGCTTATGTTGAGAAACTTAGCTCAACTTTAACATGCCAGTTTCCTTTAAAACAACAAGCTGGCGTAGATGTCATAGGTTACATGTGTGGGTATCTGTGATCGTCTTCTTCTTGAAGTGCAAGTACCCAATTAGTTTAATCAGAACAGCAAAAATTCTGATGCAAAGAAAAAGTTTACATTATCTAGCATAACGTTTAACACTAAAAAGCGAAATGTCTAAATTGTTTGTAAACAGTAAAAAAATAAATAATTAAACATTAAGTTTTGTTTTACGCTTAAAGTTTTAGAGTTTTTGTTTCACAATAAAACATACTTGTTCTCAGGATGGCAACAAGGATGAATAATACCATTCATATCTAAATATAAATTATCAAATTCCACATCATTGGGATTTGGTTGAGAAGAGTCATTTGGAATTTTAACTCCATCAATAATTTTACCCTGAAAAAAATAATAAAAAATACATGTATCAAAATTGTAAATTGTTTTGTAGAAATGACTTATATTACACTGAACTATGAAATAGCTTAAAGAGAAAATATACATACTTTTTCTTCAACACAATGGACAACTATTGAAGGATACTTCTTACTCAGCCAGCGGAAAAATGCGGGTACTCCCATCTTAAATAAAAACCTGAAATGAACAGCAAAAGTTAAAAATCACATCAAATAAATTATTATTAAAAGGTTAATCAGGGATACAAAATTAAATTCTTTAAATACAATTAAAAATCATGCTTTTTTTTTCTTGAAATAGCATACATGATGTGTAATAAACACTATACTTTAAGAGGATTATACTATTTCATTCAAAACTGATTTTTGAAAGATTTCTGTTAGTGCCTGCACCAAAAAGGCCTCCGAGTTTGTGTAACATCTAAGCAAAAGCAGACCAAAAATTAAAGAAGAAAGAAATCAGAGAACAACAAACTTGAGATAGATAATGTAAAACCACCTCCCACCAAACTACTGTTTTACTAATATATTGCAGTGTTTTCCCTTAACGTTTTTAAAGGGGGCCCCGCCTTTTGACCCTGGTAAAAAATATCCGCTTCACCTTTGTCGTAAAAATAAGCCGCCAGCCCGTAATAATGTTTAAAACTGTTAAAGTTTAATAAGATTTTTCTTATGTTATTTAGTTGTATAGTTAAAATTTGAATGATATTCAGCCCCTGAGATATATACTTAAAATACTTTTTCTTTCAATAATCTGGAAGAAAAAAAAACATTCTTAACTTGCATTACATAATGGTTAGAACTAATATAAATTCCAATATGAACACTCATCACTGTTTTGATTTTGGAACTTTCTAGAGAGCATAAATAAGTGAATTTCTTAGAATAATTTGAAAACACTACATAAAAGAATTCAGAAAAGTTGGAGTTGAGGCTTTTAACTTATCGATCAAGGCAGTTGAAATAATCCTTACATAGGGAAGATTTTCTTATCGGGCCCTGGGTCAAAAGAATCGCCAAGTTTAGGCAACTTCAAGGCAGTGGGATGTGAGAAATTAGATGGGGGTCTGTCTAGGTTTTTCTAAAAAGTACCTATTTTGTGAAATTTTAGACGTAATTTGTGAAAATTAAAAATTATATTATAAAATCAACACAAAAATATGGTAAAAATATGGATATATTGCTTTGAGTATTATTTTAAGAGGGGGATTTTTTTTTTTAGAATACTGTATTTCAAAAAATATTGGAATCTAAAATAAATTTGTTTTTCTTATGTGAAGGGGATATTTCCTCAACATAATCTATCACAACAACTACAGCAATAAACATCAAAATCTCAATCATATACATTTTACCATCCTCAGACATACGTAGGAGATAATTCCGTATTGTGATCTGCTACACAAACAACAACTGCCACGTCACCAAATAGATTTTAAAGAGGAAATTTTTTTTAAAAAAAAAGGCATATAGAGGTTTGTCCGGGGACGGCTATCAGTTATACCCTTTCAAGTTGGTCCTTTTCTGTGATGCTTTTTTAAGCTCCTCGAGAGTCACCGAGACTCGGCAAAGGGTGGACATTAGAATAGCCAACCTCGTGGGGAATTTTATAAATAAATCTCGCCAAACTAGGCGTTCAGAAGATATTTTGAGGAGAAAATTTTGAGCGTCCGATAACACTACCAAAATTCTTAAATCCGATTGGTTATTTGATATGTATACCAAAGCGAAAGTTGGATTTCGTTAGGAAAGAGGTAAAAGGGTTTATTTTTTTCGCCATTTATGCTTCTGATCTCTTGCTGTTGCATCATTCTTATTATTTCAGTTTTTAATTTGACATTAGATTTTTTTTTTTTTTTTTTGTGAGGTGAATGACTGTTGACCGGTCAAATGTTGTGTGGTACTGGTTCAAAAGATGAGCCAACAGAAAAAAGGAAAGCTATTTTTAATTCGATTAAAAATATTTTAATAGATTTGTAATAATTAAAAATAGTTTTATTTAATAAACAAAAAACAACGTTGATCCCAGCAATAATAGCAAACTTGGGGAGATTTCAAAAAGTCGCCAAGACAGGGGTCTGTCTAGGTACCTATTTTGTGAAAATTTAGACATAATTTGTGAAAAATTAAAAATTTTATTACAAAAACATGGTAAAAATATAGATTTAATGTTTCTTAACGGATACAAAAACAAATTTTTAAGGAAAAGTATCTTGTGAAGCTACCGTTTTTCCTAAAGTCAAATTTGTGAAACTACCGTTTTAAATAAAATTGAATTTGTGAAGGTACCGCTAAACGGTAGCAAATTCGGCCTGGACAGACCCCTCCAAGAGGTGGGCAATTCTAGGATTTTACACTCGGTGATTATTCTACCACAGATCACAATATAAAAATCTTTCCTAAACGATTAAGGAAAATTTAAAAAGTAAAAATTAAATTAATAAATAAACCAAGAAACAATTGCATAACAATAAACACAAATTATGGTAAACCGAAAGTGACATAATATCCAGCAACAGGGTTTCAGCAAAATTGTACAATTGAATCAATCCAAGGGGTCCCCGATCCTACACGAAACCCCCGATTACAATCCTCAAGGCATTAAATGGATTTTAAATTATAATTTTTTTTAAAAGAAAAACATGTAACGGTTTGCCCAGGGAGTTATATCCTTCAAGTTGGTCCCTATGTGATTTTTATTTTTTAGCTTTTTGCGGGTCGCAGCCATAAATTTGTCAAGACTTGGTGATTATTGTGTCTCAAAACACGACAAGGAAATTTTTCCTAAGTGAATATTACATCAACAAGTAGTTCAATTAAAGAATATAATAGAAATTTATACAATGATTGTAAAAGAAATGTAATAAATTTCAGGCTTAAATAGATATATTGAGAGAATTAGTAACGTTTAAGAAGTTTTAAACACTTGTTATTGATAAATTTAACAAATTACTTTCAACAAATTTAATTTAAAAAATGTGTGTGATGTTCTTAAGTTGGTTACATTAAAATTTCAAAAGCATCAAGCACACAATGAATTTCATACAAGAGAGGGAAAAAAACCAAAACGTAAAAATTACTATTAAATGAGTATTATATCCAAATTAATAACTTGGCAAGTAAAGTTTTTAAATATTTAATTTTATTTTTGTCAACAAAACAAGAAAACTCACCGCAACCTAAATACACAACACTTCACTTCGATTCGTTTTTTTCTGACATCTTATTATACTAATTCTTTGTTAAAATGCTCATGTCAACCGTAATGTTTTTTCCGGTTTTGGGAAATAACATTGTCGTGACATCTAACGCTTAGTATCAAAACTATTTTAAAGGGTTAAATTTGCTGAACACTGCACGTCATTTTTACAAACAATAACCTTAAAAACATTTTGGTCAGCAGTCGGATGCTCTAAGGATCTCATAGCGATGGTCCTCCTCAAATCTGTATGGAAAAAAGGCATATATCTTCCAAAAGGATGAAATACGGAAGCTTTGTAGAGCAGCTGCAACAATATATTCCAAAGACTTAGCCAATATTTAATTATTTGTTGTTTTATTTGTATTGCTATGCAGCAGTACGTTTGGTTTTTATGTATTACTATGTTTCAGCTTCAAGTTATTAAAAAATTGCAACTCTTCTTAAGAGTACTAGCAGAAGAATTATGTTTTAATCGTCGCATTAGAACTGCACAACATTGGGACCGGTCTGAGAAATATGCTTGAAGATGATTCGAAATTTTATATAAAAGAAAATCAAGTTTGTTAAATTTTTAGATAAGAAAAAAAGTTCACTATCATGTAAGTTTCGATTTGAAAATGGAATCCATTATAGTACACAACGCATTTAACTAGTTGTTCAGAGGGGAGGGGTATGTGAGTATTTCGCATCCAGACACTCACGAAATCTGAATTCCTTGTCAATACAAACTATTTAAATGTAATAAGTAATGAAAACAACAACTTGTTTACATTGTTTTGAAATCATCCGTTTTAAGAGAGAAAACTATATTTTTCTAACGTTGATTGTTAGGCTTTAGAAAGTTTTCTTTAATTTAATTTATGCCTTAAAATACTTAATGCTTTAAATATTTCCTCTGTTCTTATTCGTATTGATATTTCACTTCGTCGATAGCTTCAAAAAACAGTTCAAGATTTTGTTGTAGTTACAACTTTAAAATTCTAATATGCTTAAAGGTGTGCGTTATTGTGATGTCATAACTGCATCCTACAATTGCTTCAAATTGAGAGTGGGTAGTCATGTTTTTCAGTTTTTGTAACGACCCATTCAAATTTTCTGTACTGTTATAGGAGCAGAATTACTTCACACTTTGAGATTATCATTTTTTTTTGTTTTGTTCTGCCTAACATCCTGAGAATTAATTGCCATAATTAATTACAATAATTGTTTATAATAATTATTTATAATAATTATTTGTAATAAATATTTATAATAAATATTTATAATAATTATTTATAATAATTATTTATAATAAATATTTATAATAATTATTTATAATAATTATTTGTAATAATTATTGATAAGAAGACCATGAATAGCTTTAAACTATTGATAGTTTGAAGTATTTTTTATATTGTTTTCCATTATTTCTGATATTATACCCTTCATTGGAGGGGAGGACAGATAAGGGCTCTGGACGCGTAATTAGAATCCTTATATCATTCTACCAAAATTATTTCCTTCGTTAATTTTGTCAAAAAACTGATGCTCGATATAAAAATATACTATACCGCACTATACAAGATAAAAAAAATTCTAAAGCCCCCTTAAAAATCTTTCAACAAACGCTTTTTGATCAATAGAGAACTTTTTAAAATTCTTTAGTATTTTTGACATTGTATATTTTTAAGGATCCTTAATAGACGCAATTTTTTGTGATAGTTAGGGATAAAATTAAAAGCACTTGCATGAAAATGAATTCAATGCTTAACAACATTTATGAAAAACTAATCTTTAAGTATAGCAAATAGCACGATATGTAATGATCGACCCTGATAACAGATATTTCGATATTTGACAATGATCACGATAATTAGCTTAATAGACAGTAATGCTAAATAACACGTTTCTACCAATTTCTGCCTTGTATTCGGTGCAGAATAGCTGATTCCTTATTTAATGCTATTAAGTTTCCAAGAGCTAGTTCGCACTGGAAAACTAACTGATCACCACTGGTGGCTAATATGGCAATATAGGAGCTGTGGTAATATTTCTTTACTCCCCAGTAATACCTTTCCTATTTTTACAAAAATCAAAAAATTGTTTCAAATATCATGAATTCTGTAAATTAACATGAAATGTGCTGAAAAAAATGTCACTACAAAATAATCGGCAAAATATCTTCAAATTAGGTTATAGTAATCATTTTGATCCCTTTATTAAAAAGATGATATGACAAATAAATAAGTTTTCAAAAGTATTTAAAAAATATTGAACAATACAAAACCTTAAATTACTTACCCACGATCCTGTTGATATATCACTGAATTAAAGAAAAAAATCTGTCTATTTAATCTACGTTTGTTAACTTACATCAGGAAACTCGAAATATTGTCTGAAGCATTTTTAGAGAATTGGAAATTTTTTAATTATTCATTTTGATTCTAAAGGAATTCCATTTAATCATATTAAAATGCTAAATTTATTTTTTAGATATTTTTTTATCTTACTTTCAATTATTTTTAAAACCTCCTATATTTAAAATTTTCGACTAACTTTTATCTAATGTTTATTTCTTTAATTTCAAAAGAAGTAGAATTAAAAGATTTGAAGCAGAAAAATTTAAGCTTGAAGCTCGCTGAAAGTCAAAAAACAACTTAGAGATAGATTAACGAGGATCAGTATCAAAGAGAATACCTCATAATTAAGTAAACACGAGAGTTGGAAAAAAATACGCTCTGAATCGATAATATAAAATTTCACATTTTAAAGAGGTACTATGGGTGGTGTTTTCAATATAAATGTAAACAATAACAATCTCGAGGTGAATACCTGCTCTAGTTCCGGTTAGAAAGTGTGCAACTGTTATTCTGCATGGGGGGGGGGACTAACTAGGATTCGCTACAGGTTATTCTGCAAGGATTATGCGCTACAGGTTATTCTGCCATATTTTCAAATGGATAATTTTGTTTTCAATAAAAGATGTAAATTAGATAACTTTGAAGCTAAAATCTGCCGTATTTCATAAGATATTAATGTTATTAAGTAATTCTGGTGAGTGTGAAGTGAAAATTTGTTTTAGTTATTTATAGATATATTGTTAAAAAAAGGTGACATGGTTGCTAGATTTTGAATAACTTGCTTTTTTAGCACTCCTGATTTGGCCTCTTTCCATTTGTTTATTACTGTTTGTTTTTGTTTCAAGCAGTGCACCATCTTATGTTAGTGTTAGCACCTTTGGCATTGTTAATACAAGTATTGTTAGCATTGTAAACAGAAGTAATAAGTAATCAAATACAACGTTTGCAAGAATCTCAAAACACATTGATCACGTTGTGAGCCAAATGGCTTTAAAATACACCGAAAACAGTAACCCGGAAGTATAGGCGGTATGGAGCTTGCAGCGTTCCCTAGTGAAGAAAACACCATCTATATTTTACTGCCACAGTATTGGCTGAACATCATTGCAATAATTTAATCTTTATCGGAAAGGCTATGGTATAATTAGTTGATTAACCATATTAGATCGCCCAAAGGTTTAATTATATGAGCATTTTGCTCCTAAAAGGAAAAGATAACATTCTTTTAATGAAACAAAACTTTATTCATAATTCTATCCCAGCACGCTGCCACACAGCTCATGACGTTCTGCCTCCTGCTCTAGGGTTGCATTATTATTGTTGTCGGCTTGGCGATGATTTAATTCGCCACAAGGCCCTATATTATCTCACGCGTTGCCGGTATAGTTGGCACGGTTGATCTTGACCGTCCGGTAGGTTCAATTGTTTTAACATGGTCTAAATGGCTACAAAATGATGTGTTTCAATAAGATGTTGGACGTCGATTATAGTAATCGATCATAACTGGAATTGAGAGGAATTATTACAGGAAACTACGATTACAAGTAATCATGATCTCGGATTACATATGGTCATGATTATTTGTAATCACAACAAGGAACAATTACAGATAATTGTGATTACACGTAATCAAATTATATGCTTACATGTAATCAAATTATGTGATTGCATAAAATCCTGATTATGAGTAATCAAATTATACGATTATGGTATAAATTCCAATCATCAGATCTATGTAATCACCAGGATAGCGCATGAATTAAAAATATGTATTTAAAGTATATGCATACGTAATGTATAAAAGCACATACATGACATGAATGCCCGAAATCATGTAGGTACTTAAAGTATGTATGTATACAAATTATAAAGATGAACATGTAATTTATACATGCACTGAATAGGCACATTGCATGATATCCGTACTTGTATTGTATGAAAATACATTAGTACTTATGCAAGAACAAGAGGTATGTTTATACGGAGATGGTACGCTTTTGTGTCTGATTAAACTTTTTTTCTTCTTTTGTCTCGAAAACTCTTTGCCTAGGAGACTCGATTAAAGATCTAATGAAGGTCTAAAGAAGATTTGTATATAATTAAAAGAATTAAAATGAATTTTGGAAATTTGGTTTCAGTATAAAATTTTCATACTTACATAAATTGAAAACAACGTAAAGAATACACAGATAATGTCACGTGAAAAATTCTTAAGTTCAAATTTTGAAACCTTGGAAAATCATAAATAACTTATTAATCCATTCAAATTCGATTTTCAAAGGATATCAAAAAAGAAAACAACCTTTGCGTTTAGGTCAGAAATCTGCCGGAAAAAAATGTCTGTTTGAATGAAAAAGATAATAAAAACAATGCCTAGAAAGCAATACAAAGACTGAAAAAGTGTCAATTTTTATTTAATTATTTTTTATAGGGTCAACTTAGTTGCTTCGAAACGGGGAAACACTAGGTATTTTCACTTGTTAATCAAATAGTTCTTTTAAGGTTATCTTAAATTATGCCTCTTGCTACTATTTGGCTATTTTGGAGGGACTACACCAAATATATATAGCTTCCTAGCACCCAAATTTATGGTCCAATTTTTTCGAAATTTTGTCATCCCCTATAATTTAAGGGTCAGGAATCCATATATTTATATATATATANTTAATTTTTGCGT